TAATCGACGCGGTGATCCAGTCCTGATCAAGGTTGCTATTGATCCCAATTGAAGCGTTGGTTTAGATCACAGTGGGATTCAGCCTTTGAATCCTAGTTGTAGGTGGCTGTCTAGTCTCGATCGGCGCCGACACTCTTGTTTGGTCAAGGCCAGCGATCTTCTCCTGATCAACGCTGACAGTTGGTCTTGATGATAGTCAGCCATTTGATCCCCATTGTGCCTACACTTTGGGAGTCTTCGCTGGCAATCCATTCTCGATAGAAGTTGATCATTCCATCTTAGTTGGCTACGTGGCTTAGTCTCGATCTAGTCCTGTTGCCACTCGGCAATTTTCCTGTTTTAGCATTGTCGATGGGGCCAGTCAAATTATAAAGAGATTGAGGTGGGATTCGAAATACGAGAGATTTAGAAAGAATTTTCAATTAAAGAAAGATTGAGGTTAAATTTTGATTTGAATTCAGGTCAAATTTAAATTTATATATTTTTAATTTCCTAAACAATCAATCGTCTCAAATTTAAATTCAAACCTAAATTTTTATATATACAAACATAGCATTATAGAACTATTAGTTTGAATGGAGATAAGACTTGATGAGATGAAACAAACATGCACCGAAGCACGTATGCATTTACTTTCTGAAAAAAGAATAAAGGGCAGAAGGTAAATTTGTTTATACGATTGTAAGTGAACCCTTACATTCCTTCACTTGATGGAAGGAATGAAAATGTGGAATCAGTTGTGGAAATAGAGGTGGCATCACTATTGGGAATGAAATGAGCTTTTTTCATGCCATCCAACCAATAACCAAATCTACTTTATCTTACAAAGTTTCAGTCCTTTTTTCACACCCCAAAACCGCGAGTCAAGAAAAGAGAAGATACTGGGGAACAATAAAGAGCAGAAAAACGATCAGACAATAATGGCACCCCCATTCACTAACCAACACAAATGTTGACATTCCATTCATTTCATTTACCTCTCACATAATAAGATTACAAAAATTTTTTTATTTTATTTATAGTGTATTTTTATGATTTTTGTGTCCATTTTTATTTTTGTGCTCCTATTAAATGCTGAGGTATTTATTTTTAATTATATATATATATATATGTATGTATTTAATAGGAGTAAAGATAAAATTTTATTAAATTTTTAGATTGAATAATAAAATTTAAAGTTTTTTTATTACGTTGAAAATAATTTATAAGTAATATTGGATGGAGCATGCAAAAAATAATGCAAATTGGATTTTTTTTATATTTATACGTTTATATATTTGAATATTAAGATAAAATTTTAAAAAGGTAAACTGTTTTCATTTAAACAAGTAACTAAACGTAGTGGAATAGTGCACACAGACAATAAAGTTTTTCGTCGTATAAGGCGATATCGAGCTACTAGCTTTTCCTTTCTCCATGTTAACACGTTCTTTTGCGTGCTCTTTGATTTTGACATTTACTTGTGTGTGTATGTGGTGAATTCAAATTCACCGTAAAGAAGAAATAAACATATATGAAATAAAAAACTTTTTTTTTTTTTACCAGCGAAATAAAAACACTGAGAGACAGGATCTTACCATTAACCACGCTTTCAGAGGAACAAATTACTGTGATGATTAGGTTGCTTATCATGCATCACAGGACAACACCCATGCTAGGATATACATACTTACATAAACCAAATTAATTGGAAACACCAACGATATTGTTTTTTCCTCCAATAATCTTATTTTCCTATGTTTCTCATAATCTTGAGCCTTAATTATTTTCATAATCATGCTAATTCCCAGCAAAATCTTTCCTTTCAAAATGAACTCTTTCATCATCATTTGGACTTTGATTGTGTGTGTGTGAAAACTCGTCTAGTCAAAAGAATTTCAGAATTTGGAAATTAAAGTACCCATAAACTTTTTTGGCCAACATCACCTAGTCTGAAATATCAAGACACATTGCTGGGGCGTCTTTTGACCTGGTGGAGATAATAAATGGTTGTATTCAAAAGTTATGTTTTTTTTTTCCTGGCCAGAAAGCGAATAGAAATAAGACTCCTATGTGCTGTTCATGTAATGTCCATATTAATAGAGCTTTAGAGTTGAGCAGGCTATTGCAAGTTAATTTGACAGGCGATTTGGAAAAGTATATTGGGATCTGGTTGATTCATAAAAGAGCATCATGTTGCTTGTTTGCTCCTATCCTGGATAAAGTCAAGAGTCATATGTCGCGGGTGGAAGAAGAAAATGTTAAATGCTGCTAGGAGAGCAGTTTTGATTCAATTAGTTATCTCGGCAATGCCTAGTTATTACATGCAAATTATGCTACTCCCAAAAACATCACTTGGAGAGATGGAGAAAGAATGTAGAAGTTTTCTTTGCGGAGATGAGGATAATGCTAAGAAATTCCATTTTTTGGCTTGGAAAGAGGTCACTAAGGATTTAAAAAAAAAAAAGTGGAGGTTTGAGAATTAAGGATTTAAATACTCAAAATAGAGCTTTCATGTTTAAACTTTGTTGGCAGCTACTAAACAATAGTAAAGCTATGTGGGTCAAGTTTAGAAATCTAAATAAAATGTGGCATTGAAGTTGTTCTCACGATTAGGAGAAAAGCAAGTGCCTCCTTGACATGGCAAGGTATTGTAAACTACTAGGATAATTTTATTAAAGGCGTCAAGAAAAGAGTTGGGAACGGCAAAAGTACTAACTTCTGGACTGATTTGTGGGAATGTTGCGGCATTCCTTTGACTCATCTTGCTATTGATAACACTTTCAATGCAAATGACAAAGTTGCAGATTTTTTTCTGATTACAGGGAATTGGGATCTTCAGAAAATGAGGATATGGTTACCTAGTCATGTTATAAACCGCATTGCTTGCACTAATGTCCTGAGAGATGAGATGAGAGATGAGAGGATCTGTTTATTTGGAATCCATCATCGGATGGAAATTTCAATATTTCTTCTGCTTACAAATTTCTTCTTATAGGTAAACCTTCGGCAATGAGAAAAATTTGGAATAAAATTTGGTGCTAGACAAGACCTGAGAAGAATAAAATTCACTTATGGTTGGCGGTTACAGATAGGTTGCATACTGTAGAGTTGAGAGCAAAATGTGGTCTTCAACAATCTACTTGTTGCCTTGTGGGATGTAACCAAAAGGAGGAAATCATGCACATCCTTAGAGACTACCTAGAAGCAGAGGAATGGTGGAAAAAAATAGTCAAAGAGAAGGGATGGAGCAGTTTCAAATGGCTACAAGGAGCGGATTGGTTTCTTTGAAATTAAAAAAAAAAAAAATCATTTGGTAATCATCTAACTAGAAATGTGCCCTGGCATGTTTTCTTTGGGTATATGTGGTGGGATAATTAGGGTACTAGATTTTTTTTTTTAAAAAAAAAAAAATCTCTAATGGCGCAAATGTAGATCCTAGTCAAAACTTGGATACACTTTGGCAGATAAGTGATCTCTACACCTACTGCAACTATCACCAAGGACATCTCCCAGCAAAAGAAGGAACCATGCTCAGTGGTATAGATCAGATGAAAATGCTATTAGGTTAGATGTAGATGGATCCTATAAAGATGGCATCTCTTGATGTGATGATGTAGTTAGAAATAGCATTACTGATTGGATTGTTAGTTTTACCTCTAGTGTGGGATATTTTCCTCCTACTATCACATAGATTATTAGTATAACTCAAGGATTAGAGCTTTGCTTTAATAAGGGGTTCCACAAAGTTATTGTTTACATAGACTGTATTGAGGCAAATAATTTGATCTTACGATATGATAGTGACAATCACCCACACAAGAATATTTGAATTATGCTAGATTTCTTTCGTATGAAAACCATCATGTTTCTTTAAGTTTTATGTCTATAGAGGCAAATTGTTGTGCCCATTTACTTGCTAGTTTTGCTAAGAACGTTACTGAATCCTACTGCTCTCTTAATTAACCCCCACCTCACTTTAGGGAGGTGTTGGATGATGACAAGAGAAGATTCATTACTGTGTATTGAGACAACCTTTTTTTTGTTAAAGCATCTTTCTTCATTCAAAAAGAAAAATATCGACACACATGGAACACTTAGAAACTCAAATTTCAGTATAAATCTACATAAGAAATCACACTCATCATAAGAATCACTCATCATCCTTATCTTATTAGCAACTCACCAATCACCAATAGTGAATATATCTAAAAGAGAAACTTCCAGCCCCATTAAATGACCGGTGAGCAACTTGAGTTGGCGCTATCAGGAAAAAAACTCATAACCTTTTACATTCTCATGTCACGTGCTTGTTAGTGACACATTGACTAACAGGCTCCATAAACGGTACCAGTTTCCACGTCGGATGGGAGGGTCCCTAGTTTAATAATTTTTGTCCTCCCACAGGGCAAAAACCTTCAACAAGTAGTTTTGTGGTCTGAAGCTACTACAGTTTCAGACCAGAGAGTAGAAGACCGGAAAATTAAACTAAACAGTAAAGAATGTAGTCACAGAACTACAAAACAGACCAACCTAACAAAGGTCAACCCACCATCCTAAAACAGGTCAGGATGATGAGTTGACTTTTTTTTTTTTTTGAAAAACCACTTGATGTTTAATACTTATAACTCAACTCATATTGACACTTCAAGAAATAGCTCGCAGGGTAATATAACACAAAATCAGATGTTACGTGCAAATGTTAATTGCTCTTCGTACTGACTCTTTTAATTCCTAGAAAAAGCGTAGTATGCTGCATTATGGAGGCCAATGAAGTTTAATTCTAGAGTGAATATAAAAAATAAAAAATAAAAAAGCCAATTGATCCAAGACAGAATTAGCGCTCTATCTGAATGGTCACATGACTAATGTTGTAGACCCTTTTGATATAGTCTACAACCTTGTCAAGCATCAAGTCTGCATCTGCTTCTGGCCTAATTTTCACATGACAAGCCAGTAAAATCTTACCCACTGTAATGGCCCATATATGCAATTCATGAACAGCCACAACTTCATCCATGTCCAGCAGCCCCTGTTCAAGTTTAGTTGCATCTATCTCTCGTGGCGTGCTCTCCATCAGGACTTCAAGTATGCCTCGCAGCATATTGATCGTTGTCCCCAAAACAATCACTGAGAATACTAGGGTGCAAATCAAGTCAACGACCTTCCACTCGGGTTTGTACCATACAATTGCCCCTCCGATCATCACCCCAACACTTTGGATACAGTCCCCAAGTACATGGAGATAAGCCCCTCGCACATTAATGTTCCATTCTTTCTTCTCCTCTGGTGATCCACTGAGAAGTGCTTCACCGACATTGTCATGACTATGGTGATGGGGCTTATCTCTTGAATGCTCTTCATCATGATGATGGTGATGGGTAGAAATTACAGATCCACGGTCATGACTATGATCATGTTCACCGTGTCCATGTCTGTGATTGTGACCCAGTAAAAGAGCCATGATGATGTTAACCAATAGACCAAATGTAGAAACTAAAAACATTAGTAGGCCATTAACCTCATGAGTACCAGCAATGAGTCTTTGAATGGCTTCGAAGACTAGAATTCCAGTAAGCAACCATATTAGTTGGATAGAAACCAAGGCGCCGAGAATCTCTATCCTGAAAAATCCATATGACTGACGAGGGGTGGCTTCCCATCCAGCAGCCCACAAAGAGAATAATGAGATGGCAAAGGCTGCAACATCAGAAAGTAAGTGTGCCGCATCGGTCAATATTGCAAGACTATTAGCTTTGATTCCCCCAACAACTTCAATGCTCATGAAAACAACACAGAGAATCACTGCCATCAGAAGTTTTCGCATTGAAGTCAATCGTTCTTTGGAATCCCTGGAGATGGATCCAGCGTCTGAGAACCCACATGGTGCTTCCCCACAAACCTTACTTCCTCCAAGAGCCCTTCCACCATCAGAAGCGTGTCCACGAATTTCAATAACTTGTGCATCCCGGGGGTTTTGTCCTTCCATCTGGAATACGACGCTAGTGAAAGATGTTATTTGTTGCAAGTTGGTGAAAAAACAACAATAAAACATAAAAACAGACACGCTAGCCAATCATTAAACAAGAAACAGGATTACATTATATCATCACCAGATAATGTGGAGAATTCACGTTTGAATGAGTCTAATAAGTAATAAATTTATCTCTGACAAATTGATTCCATATACACAGCTCCAGAAATAAAATGTCAACAGGCAAAAATTAGTAACCCATCACAAAACCACGGGCAGTGCCGTCAACCACTATCCAAATGCAAATATTTATATAGAATGTGAGCAGAAAATCAGATCAAAAGAAGAACAGTATATATTTAGAGTAATTACTCAGCAAACAATACATTGTTGACAAGATAGACATGTGCAACATAGATTATAGATATTGAATAATATCAGGCACAGGACCATAGTTTTGTTAATGACGTAGTGTTGACCAGTTCCTTGGCATTGAAAGATAAACAGTCACTCAGCGAGAAATGTTATGATAACAGTAAGCCTCCATGCTGGACCTTGAGATGCCAAAAAAAAAAAAAAAAAGACTTTAAAGGAAACATGAAAACCAAGCACAAGGAAGGAAGCGAACATTCTTCAAAACCAGAGCCCAGAGGTAAACAATCATTATGTTTACAATGTCATAGTCCTCAACTGGAATTCCACATTTTGACTCAAGTCAAAAGAACATTTTGATTATTTATGTATACGACATCTACTTCTGAAACACTCTGAGAGAGGAAAAATCATGACGGCAGAATGCTTCGAACACAAAAGGAAAAAAAGAAAGAAAAAAAATATAAGAAATCTAATGGTAGGAAGATATCATGCAGGATAAGCTAGTTAAGGCATATATTGGCAATATTTTCATGTACGTGTTGCTTCTGCATTTGGATCCTCCGTATTTCATTCTCTGCATTTTTTTTTTTTTTGTTAATTTAACAAGAGGATAGACAGAGTGCATGGAGTCCATCACTCGTATGGACCCCATACTTCAAACAGGACCCACCATTTACGTGGGTCTCATTCGTTCTGTGTCTATTTCCCTCAGAAATTAACAAGAAATGAAAAACATTCAAAATCTTCTCTTTAGTTCCAATGACATCACAAAAGTTCAAAACAATACAACCGCAAATAGCCGCCAACAAGGTCAATCAATTGAGGATATAATTCGAACTAACTACACAGCCATGCCACAATCCTATGGCACGTGAAAAATACCAAATAAACACATGGGCGGATGAAAAACAGATGGACCGAAAAGTCGCATTATCCAATAAGTGTTTAAGGAGGTCAAAGGAATTAGTAGCATAATCAAATCAGAAAAGAAGCAGGGCAAGGAGGTTGTCAGTATCCTGTAAGCAGTAGCACAAGCGCATTACTAAATCTCTCAGCGCTAAATAGGAACATGTCCTACAAGAAATCACAATCACATACTTTTCCCAGAGAAAGAGCATAAGAGAATTGATCTAATATGTTTAATAGATATGGCAACATGATGTCTTGTCATATATCAATTATCATCACTATCAAATAAATGCTTCGTTTCTTCAATAACCCACATGGAGCACAATCACAGAATTGTAACAGGGTAAGCACTTATTCGCATAGGCGAACCTTTATTACACTCAGTGGGGGCAGAAATCTTTAAAATATGCATAGTTGACGAAGATGCCTTAGTAAGCCAACTGATTCAGGTAACTCCTCCAAGCCACAAAATAATGACATTTTAAACTCAAGCTAGCTGCTAAATTGCCTGACAGAACTCGAGCCAAGTCATTTACCACATCATGCGTCACAAATACCTTGAGATTTTTCTAAATTGATGATAATATAAAGAGTTTAATAAAAAGAATGCCAATACACATAAAAAATCAACACTGCACGACAAAAACAATGGAAAGCATATAAGTCGCTAGTAACCAAAATGAAGAGGGTAGAAGCATGGTAGCCCATTACACACCATCGAAGCAAAAGCTAATAATCAAAAATTAAATAATAATAATAATAATAATAATAATAATAATAAAACTCAATCTTTATTCAAAGCGTCAATATCCAAACGATAACACGACCAAAATGAAAAATTTAAAACAAATCAAGAAACAGTGCGAGGGCGTCCGACAACCCCACAGGAACAGATGACGCGGGAAACGCATTCAATTGTAGATCCAAATCCAGATTCAACAAATCAATCCCACCAGATTTTGTGAGTAGACAAAAGTCCCAGGGTTCGAACCTTTTTCAATACTTGCCAGAGAACAACTACCCAGGACTGACAACGGTGGACGTCCGACGGCGAGCTCGACCAAGTTTAATGCTTGTTGGTCAACGAAGAAAATGGTTGCCAAAAAACGTGAAAAGGTAGAGTTTCAAAAACCGAATATAAACGAAATTATTATTTTAATCCAACCTAACCGAGAATATTTTGTTTATATATTCTATTTGATTTTTAATTATTAAAAATTTATTGGATGAAAATTAATTTAATAAAAATTAATTTAATAAAATTTATTTATTATAATAAAATTTATATTTGAATAAATTTTTTAAAAATTAATTTAATAAATTAAAAGTTATTTAAATTATAATAATGATTGAGTAAAAATAAAAAAGAGAATTAGTTGATGATAAAATTTTGCAAAATACCTTCAAAAAATTATCTGAAGTTAAGTTTAAAAAATGAACTTTTAAAGTTTTTTGGATGTGTTTTTTAAATAGATTTTGTAGATAACTTAAAAAAAAAAACCAACCAACTTTAAGAGTAGGTAAATCAAACGGGCCCTCAGTTCTGAACCAATGGGATCATTCTTTGTTTTTTTTTTTTAATAAAAACAAGAGTAATTATTCCAAAACCTTAATATACATTAAAATTTTATTTCGAAACTTCTTAAAATATTCATATTTAATTAAAAACTTTAATTATTTTTTGGCCTGAATAAAAATTATAAATACCAAAAATACCATTTATATTTAAATGCATTGCAAAATATTATTTATATATCATTATTTTCAAAATATATAACTTTATTTATCTTAATCAGATTAATAGTTAAGATAATGACTTGAAATAGATATGAAATAAAAAACATCATTTATTGTTTTGCAAATATTTATATCATATACCAGTATCTGGTCAAAAAAGAAAAACCATATGCCAATATTTTTTCCAATAATATGTATATCATAAATAAATGCATTATGCAAATAATCTCTTACAAATATACCAACACAGTAATTATGGATCAGCAAAAAAAAAAATTCTAGAAATTTTACATTTATATGTATTAAATTATATTAAATCAATTTATTTTGATTTCAAAAGTTACATTAACTTTAAATTTAAAGATAAAGTAAAAAAAATGTAATAACACCGTCTGATAAAAAATTTTAGAAATTGCAAAGGGTTTGAATTTTGTTAGTTCGTTATAGGAAAGTCTTCTTTATTAAAAAAAAAAAACGTTTCATCACTCAAAAGCATTTTGATAACTAATCCATAGAATTTAATTTTAATTCAATTCCTTAATCTTGTAACGTTGTTTCAGAATTTTTAAGTAATTTATAAGGAAAAAAAAATCATTCCAGCTTTATAATTTTGTCCCAATTGCAATTCAATTTCTGTTTGATTTTTAATTTATATTTATAGTTTTCAAAAATCTAATCGTAAGAAGCAACCATTTATTACGTTTACCAAACATACATTTCAAATACAATTTAAATAAACTTTTGAGGAAACCAAAACAAAGTTATAATGACCTAGCATGTTGAATGATTAAGATTGAAGGAATTGATTTGTGTGATGTAAGACTCAGGTGATATTCTCAAGTTTATATACTGGGTTCCAACGTTACAGAGACACTATTACAGGGTAACTTACACACACTACTAGATTATAACCATTGATTATATCATCGTTTATTTAATAGAACTTTTAACAAATTAGCTAACTTCGTTAAAAGTCTTGGCCCTTGAAATCTCATTATTTTATTTATAGGCGGGTGAACAGAAACTGGTTTCCAAATTCCACAGCATTGTCACCATCATTTTTTTTTTTTTTGTGCGTCCAATGGGTGATGATGATGATGATGATGATGATGATGATGATGATGATGATGATAACAGTAATATATTTTTATTATTATTTCTGACCATCCTAATAACATTATTCTTAATACAACTCTATATTTTTATTTTATATTCCTACATATCCATTATAAACATTATACATTTGAAAATATGTATTCTATGAAGCATATAATTAAATGATTTTAATATGAGGGTGTATATTGAACAGGGCTGAACCGGAGATTATCCCGGTTGGATGCCTTGGGAGGTTGGGCCAGCCTCATAGGCCCCATGGTTAGGGGTTGCTTGGGTGTTTATATGGGCCTCTAGGTTGGGTTGGATCCCTAAAGTTTTTAGATTTTGTAGTGGCTATTTTGCCAAGGTTTGAACTTTGAAGGCCAATATTCTATCATTCTAGTATGCATGTATTATTTCGTCTGCGAGTTGTACTCATCCTTGAAGTTTATGCGGCTCTCTAAATGTAGAGAAATAAAGTTGCTTTGCTTATTGGCTTTTTGCATTTCAGAATTTAGCGAGCATAGAAGAGGATTGATGCATGGGTTGATAGTTTCAAATTTAAAGTCTTTGCTCTTAATTTTTTTTTTTTAGTTGCAATAATTATTTGAGCCTGCTGTTCAATTCTCTGACTTTGTCTGATAAGATCTCCAGCGACTTAACAGAAACCAATGTAGACCATGAACTGCAAGACACTTTATTTGAAGCAATGATTTGGGGAAGCTCCTATGACATTGTGTTGGGACCTGCATTCTTTTGACTAATTACAGGTTTGTTGGGGTGGGTTGTTCAACACTCACCCTTGTGTTGTAGATGGGCACAGGAAAGTTGCAATTAAGATCAATTTTGCGACTATATGATAAAGAAATCTTGTGATGATTTGTGCGGAGACTTGCTATCTTTTGAATAAATTATAGATGAAGTTTTATGATACTTGTGCTGCTATAGGTTGGCCAAAAAGTTGCATATAAAGGTACGAATGTATAATATGGAAATCTTTGTTTAGTTCCATCATAGGTAGACCAAAAAGTTGCATATATTTTTGTACAAGTGCACTTACAATATTATACATTCATAAATATACTGATATAAAAATTATTAATTTTTATGAATATATTAATTACAAATCTCGTAATATTGATAATAGAGTAATGAAAATATATCAAATAATGGTCCTTAAAAAGCACATATATGAACTAAAAGATTATATGTAGATTGAGCCAAAGGTAAGTTAAAACCAACACTTTATTAACATATTTAATTGTTAATATTTACTACTGATTCTCAATTACTTTTATATTTATGTGTGTGTGTGTGTGTGTGTAGAGAGTTGTAGGTAATCATGAAAAAGTAATTTGTGCAGTGTATGTTGAGATTGTTGCAAAACAGCAGATGTAGAGGCGAACAGTGAGCTACTGATTGCTCGAGTCGTGTCCGGAAGAATACTGTCCTTAAGAACTATTCCGGTATACCTGGACGGCGGACCAGTAGTCCCCCAGGATTAAACGAGCACTTCTTGCGGTGGAGCAAGGGAACAGAACAGCAGAGACTATGAATGAGAACAGACGAACAGAAGATCAGACGGAGGAGAGGACGAGAACGCTTGCTATCTGTTCTGTCCGCACCCATATCTATTTATAGGCTGAGGAATGAGACAGAAACATTGGATTATAATTACCGGTTAATGCTTCGGTTATACACACATTAAACAACGAACGTTCATGGATTAATGCTTCAGTTACACGCCTTAAACAGCAGAAACATGCACGTCCATTAATCCGAAAATGTTCAGCGTTCAATCTAGAGACATTAGGCAGACAAAACATTAACGCACAGAATTTGATTTCCAGAAAACTGCCAACGCCTCAAGTTCAACTTGAGGTTTTTCGGGTAAGCAAAAATAATTATTTATTTAACCATTTTTTGTAAAAATAACCCGGTAAAAGGAACCCAGTGCCTCTTGAACTCGCGCGTAGGGGGGGCGAATCTGCTGATTTCAACTGCGATTGCCCTAAATTGACCTGTCTCATGTGCGCGAGGCCACTTCTCCTCCAAGCTCATTTTACTAACCCACTTCCTTCCTTAGTATATATACACTAGGAGATTCCTTCCTTTAGTCAATGTGAGACTTTGACACACACACACTTTTGACACACATACAACAGTGTATATGTGATGAGGCACACACTCAACATCATCGCATTGAAAATGATTAAATTTATAAATGAGGTAATTATATTTTTTAAAAAGCTAATTTTATTGTTACTTGAACTAGTTAGTCAATATTTTAATTGTAATTTTATACTTTAATTTATATATTTGACATGCGAATTCATTTTTTGAGAAAGAAGTTAATGACATCCTCACAAGTTGGGCACAATATTTTGTGAATGATACGTGAGGTTTAGATAGTTTTTTTTAGAAAATTATATAAGATCATTCGAGTTTTGTATAATATCTATAAAATTTAGTATTAAAATTTGAATTATTTATATATACTAAAAGTGATTGCCTGGCAATAAATCATATAAAATATTTTAATTTGCAAGAATTGAAAAAATAAATTAAAAAAGAATTAATTTTTTTAAAAATCACTTTTAACCGCAGTTATGACTTTAACTGTTATTAAAAGTCTCACTTTTTAACAAAAAAATTCTACAAGCAACTTTCAACAGTGAACATAAACTAGTTATTCAAAATTTATTAACCGTTATTAAAAATCACATACTTTTAACATCACCTAAAACAATAACAGCTGTAGAATTGCTATTAAGAGTGTTTTTTACCTAATAGTGGTGTGATTCAAGGCTCAGGTGATATTCTCGAGTTTATATATTGGGTTCCAACGTTACAAAGACATTATTACAGGGTAATACACACCCTGCTATATTAAGACCATTGATCATATCATCGTTTATCTAATAGAACTTTTAACAAATTCGCTAACTTCGTTAAAAGTCCTGGCCCTTAAAATCTCATTATTTTATTTCTAGGCCGGTCATCGACCAGAATAGAAACTGGTTTCCAAATTCCACAGCATTGTCACCATCAAATTTTTTTTTTTGGTACGTCCAATGGGTGATGGTGATGATGATAACAACAACAATATATAATAATAATTATTATTATCATCATTATTTCTGACCATCCTAATAATATTATTCTTAATACAATTCCATATATATATATATATATATTATTCCCACCTATCCATTATAAACATTATACGTTTGAAAATATATATATATATATATCTATATGTATTCTATTAAGCATATAATTA